CTCCGAATGTCGGTTTCATTTCAATATGGGAGTCCTGGAAAGCCATGCCGGAGGAGACAAAGAAGGAGGTGCTGAATGAGTTGTTGGTTAGTATATTCTCAACTTTTATATGACTTTTTTATTCAAGTATCAAATATTAACAAAAAATATTATTATTTTAATATCTTTTATATTTGCAGGCAAACTATGATCTTGAGCACATGGATGCCCACCTGACCAACCACATAGACGATGTCTTCACACACCGATACATCCAGCGACCTCTACAAACATTTTGAGTTATATTCGGATCCAGAGATTGCTCTCGAAGAAGGCTGCCCTGAGGAGTTGGCGCTTGGAGTAGACCTGGCATTCGTGTCGTGTTTTCCGTGTTCATGTCATTTTCGTGTCGTACCCGATATCTTAATGGATCATGTTGTGTAACACCCGTTAAAATAAATGGGTAAAATGACCCGACCCTAAATTGACCCGATAATATTAACAAGTAATATGAACCGATCCATTACCCGTTAAGGAAAATATATTTTAAACCAATAAATAATCAAATGAAAAATATAATACTAAATAAATATATACATACCATATTGTCACATCCAAAACATAAAAAAGCATTTTTCTTTTAAGTATATTTTCACTTACCTAAAGTCTTTAATAGTTTTTTAATTAATGTAGAAGTGTAAAAAAATATAGAAAAAATATAAAAAACACTCGTAATGACAAGCTTTACAACTTTCATGAAGAGCTCACCTTCGAAATTGGCCATTATAATCATATAAATCATAGATCAAAATTTAACCGTTGATTGTTGTTTACATTTACGCTTCATTGTTTCTCATCAAATTTTGTTTTTTCAGATTTTCTTTTTTGAAAACATGATCTATTAGAGGATGCAGGAAGATGAACGATTTGGATCGTTGATATTATATTTAGAGTTTTACAGTTAGTGAAAATATTGCTTGATGTTTATAAAGTTTCTACAAACTATATGACATCGACTCATATTTCAGTTAACCGTGAATATCAAAATGTGATATTAAAGATCTGAACTGTTCATCTTCTTACATCGCCCAGATGATCATGTTTTCAAAAAAGAAAATTTTAAAAATGAAATTCAGTAAGAAGAATAAAGTGTAAATGGCAATCGACGGTTAAATATAAATTTAAGGTTTATGAATTATAGTGTTGGATTTCGAAGCTGACCCCTTCATGAAAGTTGTTTGTCACTATGAGTGATTGTATATGTTTTTTTACATTTTTTACACTTCTACAATAATTATTATTAATTTTATTAATTTTTTCCTCAAATAAAAAACATTATTCATGAAGGTTTGGAGGATTTTAAAAATCTAAACGATAATGTAAGTGTAACCATTATCTACTCGTGGATGAATAATGATGAATCACGAGTGTTTATATATTCTTTCACATTTTTCATACTTGTATGTATGTCTTCTTAGTTCTTGCCTATACAAATATTATATTAGTTTATTTTAATTTTGGAGAACAACATGTTAAGTAAAATTTATCCTAGTAATGATAATAAGGAACTCTCATAATAAAAATAAATAATGACTAAAACTTTTTTTTTAAACTTATATAGAATAATAATACAAAACTATATATTTAATATAGAATATATTGTATATATTAATAAGGCTATTGTATTTTATAATAAATCTTTTCGTAATTAAATTTTAAAATTATCAAAATAATTTTTTTCTTAACGGGTCGAAACGGGTTACCCACGTGTTACCTGCGTGTATACCCCGTTAAGAACATGTTATTAACGGGTTCTTAACGGGTCACCCGATAATGACCCGATAAGTTATCGTGTTGACTCGAAACTCATTATTTTCATGTCGTTTTCGTGTCGTGTCACCATGTCATGTCAGAAACTGCCGAGTCTAGCTTGGAGGATTAAAAGTGGTTGTGGATTTTCAGGAGCCTAAGTATTTGTAAGTATAATAATATTTTATTAATTATAATTTTTTTTTAATATACACACTAATACGTACATTTGATGTTTAACAGAAGAAAGCTAAGGCAAACAAGGTCAATAGAGGCCATTCTCCTATGGGTTGGAGCAATGACATCAGGTAAAAGTGTATTAACTTTAAATTGTACTACATATTAATTTCTATCAGAATTAATAACTAATTTCTTAACTTTTTTGTTTTCATGAGGGTCCTAAGTTCCCGAAGATCGACATGTTCAAGGAAATTTATGTTCAACCCGCCCATGAGACGACTGAGCATCTCGATGTAAGTTTATGTAATTGTTATTATTCTTAAATTTATACACACTATAAGTATTGATTATATTACAATTTGTATCTTCTTATTATTACAGACTGTAAAGGTGGAGAAGAGCATCATAGCTTCCCTCGGAGACCCTTGTCGAGGAGGTAACTCCAAACGAGGATGCGGGTCTTCAAATCCTGATTGAGACCCTGAATCAAACCCTTAGTCGTAGACCTGGTAAAGTTTATCGGGGGATGGAGAATGCACGACATCGTGACACACTGTTGCTTCTTTTTCCAGACAGACTGCGAGACAGGTCGCCACGATGATGGTGGAAGTTGATGACTTGAACTAGCAGCTTGCAGCCCAGGGTGATCGGTTCACTACAAAAAAGATGAGCACTGCACACAATAATTTATTTGTGCTCTTTGAGGTCAAAAAGCACCAACAATTGTGCCCATAGACCAATAGCAACAATGCAGCTACTATTTTTGGGTCTGTGCCCTCTATGGGCGTCACCATTTCAGAAAGCGCACAGTATGATGATTTGTGCTCAAAGAGGCAGGCACAAATAGACCACTATCTGTGCCTTGTTTCTGACACCTTGTCAGACAACCTTTTCCAGACATGTTGGCACTTCATATTGTAATTGTGCCAACATGAATTAAATATTAAAAAAAATTTGACGAAATGAAAAACTTTAATTTTTTTTAAATGAAAAGGCCTACAACACATTCCCAATCTCACAAACATAATGTAATGTTACATACTTTATCTCTAATACAATAAAACTTGAAAGCACATATTTTTGGACAAATGCATTTTCCCCAACAAGCCTTGCACCTCATCAGAAGCCATAACAGATATAGTCGAATTCAAAACAAAATAAGTCCAAAATAGGAAGGCTAGCTTGTCGGTGATACTTAAATCTTCAAAGCGTCGAACGTCCAAATAGGAAGGCCAGCTTGGTGGTACTTCCAAATCTCTGGTAACAAAGACAAACACAAACAAAAGCCGGTACTCTTTAGTCTTTAGTAAGAATAATTAAAGAAAAAAGTGCATCTTATATACAATTCCAAGAAGACATAGTATAACTATAATGCAAACCAGCAAACCCCTCAAGCCATTTCTCCTTGCAGAGATTGATAAAAGCATTTGTATATCTTCTAAAGATACCATCCAATCAATCCACCAAAATATCAATATCTTGTAGTTCAGGCAATTAAACTATGGGTAGGGCAAAAACAAGCTTTTATGATTTAGTTCTACAAACTGATTCATACAGATAATGAAACCAATAATTCCTAATACCATTTGAATTCATCGGACGCCAAACAACCTTCAACCACCACAAAAAACACAGTATTGACATCCCCTGCTCTGACAGCCTCTAAAAAATGACCACGAGTAAGAAATATATCAAGCAGTAAAATACATTATCACATTGGATATCGCTGAAAAAATGAACTATAAATTTAGACTACCAAGAAGCTATTGAAAATGAAGGTGACATCATTTACACAGAGCAGCAAGAATGAGTATGTAATGGCTTCCAAATTTTTAAATCATGATTCCTTTTCTTTACCAGATCAGATGCTATATATCCTTCCTCCCACATATTAATTGGTGTAATTCTGCTATGTATACATGCACTCGTCCGTGATTGAAACATAATGACTTTTGCCAGACACTTTAGTAACATTTTTAATTTCTTCATGCATGGCAATCAATCTTCACACAGATTAACACATGAAAAAAGCAATCCACAGTCCCAATAATGCGACTCTACCTCTTTCGAATGTAGAATAAAAGAGAGATGCAAAAAAATATCTCAAAATAGGTCATTTCCTACAACATATAACAAACACGAATTTTAGGAACTTAGGTGATAAGTAGTAGTTGGTCTGGAGTTTAATTGACAAAACACATAAGTGTAATGGAAAAAAAATGCACATCTCGTCATGGGCATCACAATTAACTGTAAGACATTGACAAATTTCCACATTCAATGATAATGACGTTATCCTATAGGCACATTGAAACTTCCCCAAAAGAAACCTAATGTAAATTACCTAAATCAGAGTCAGATCTGAGCAAAAAAATTAGGGAATATCTTCTATAGTCAAATTGAAACTTCCCCCAAAGAAACCCAGTTAAAAACAGTCCAGAAATGAAGATTTACATAATTTAATTATCACATAAACACCAGTCAGCGATCATGAATTCGAAACAAGAAAAACTAAAACAAAGTACTACCTAGAAACCAAAACACATTAAAATTGAAAAATCTTAGAAAAAGATTACCTGATTTTACCAACGTGATTTCCGATTCAGGCTCTACATCCACCGATCTTCCCAAACCCGACCCACCCCCTCCACATAAGTGTTCATGCACATAGAGAAATTGCATGTAAACATACAATATTGTAAATTTCGTATAATTTTATGAGAACCACAAATCAGACACAATATATACTTATAAGTTATTATGAGGGGCATTCTTAGCTTGATGGCAAATAGAATATTACACTTGGAATTTACAGGTTACCCATATGCACAGCACATTCATCAACTACCGTCATACATTCCAGGACAACAAAGTGGAACCAAGCGCCCCAAACGAAAAATAAGACAATTAACTACTTCAAGTTTAAACGAGTAAAACGGATGTGAATCTTTTCATAAGCTCTTCCATAAACTTCCAGAAGCTACTTGTAACACTAGGATGAATTTAAGCAAAAAGAAAATCCAATCTTTGACATGCATACAAAAAAAATCCATACGTGGGCGGGTCCAATTCTTCTCGGCCCAGGTTGGAAACAAACTTGATTCACTTCCTCGTCCCAATCTTTGACATGCATACAGAAAATGGATTTAAAATTCGAAATCTAGAATCTATCCCAAAACTAAAAGTTTTTATTTTGGAAAACAACTTATAGTGGAGGACAACCTACAAGGAGAGGATCATTTTTACCTCTTGGGTCGAGGTCCGATTCCGGCAGGTTTGGCCGAAAATTTGTCGAAAAATCCGCGGCCACCGCTTCTTAGATCTGAAATTGACGAAATTCGGCTACGAATTTGTAGAAACTAACTTGGGGGTTGGAAAGAGGACGTGAAGAGGATTCTGGAGGTTTAATTTGACGGTCGTTGGTGACAGGTGGACGGCTTGCGTGAAAGAGGGGGGGAGAGAGAGAGAGGACGAAGGAGGAAGAGAGGTGGGGGAAAATGAGGGGAGAGAGGGGAGTTGGACGTTTGTGAAGGGAAGGGAGATTTTTCATATTTTTTAAGTTTACATATTTTAACTTATCCTATCCAAACCTTCTTTGGTTTCCTTGCTTGCCCCATAAAAATCCCAAAAGTAAATATGTAAAGGACACAAAATTTACTTTTTATTTAAATATATTAAACTAGAGGGCACAATAATCTTTGTCGTGTTTTTGCAAATTAATAAAAAAATTCCAAATCTGACACATGCAAGGCTGGCTGGACATACAGCGTTGCTGACAAACATATTTTATAGACACAAAATGCTTTTTGTGCCCATCTTCAATGAAAAAGTTGTCATCTGATCCTATTCGGCACGGTTTCCGTGCTCATTACTGTTTTGTGTCATTTTTTTTTAACATTGGGCACAATAGATGGTGCCCTTTATGGAATGGGAACTGTTTAAGCTTTTTGGTTGTCAAACTGACACAAAATTCTCAATTATGCCCTTTGTTTTGTACCCAAAGCTCACTTTTCTTGTAGTGGTTGTGCCAGATCTTACACGCCCTCCAGTTGTTCGACCTTCAATTCCTGATGCCATTGCTACTTCTCGGTCACCTTGACTTCGGTTCCTAACCTTTCTACCCAACAGATGCCCAGCTGTCCAACCAGCTTTTATAGTTCATTTTTTGCATTAGGATATTATAATTTTTTTAACTCGTACGTACATTTTCATATATAAAATAAATAATAATTAAATTAATTTTTATTTTTGTATTTCATATTAATTAAAAAAATTTAAAAATTAATTAAAATATGTAATATAATAAAAAATTAATAATTAAAAAATATATTAAAAACACCATTTGCTCGATGTCTAAAATTTCAAGCTTGAAACAGTTTCAACGCGCGTAAGTTGAAAAGACAACATATTTATAATTAAAAAAAAACCCGAAAACAAAATATTATGGACAAAATTTTGTTGCATCCTTGTTTACTTGACGAAACTTGTTGTCACGCATGGTCTTACCTAACAACCAGTTGTTCCGTAAACTGAACGCAACGACAAATTGTTGCACCCTTTACTTTTGCGCGATGATATACTTTGCCCCCTTGTCTTTGAGGCGACAAATGTATACTTTAGCGAGCAAAGGCCCTTGCACGACGATATTATTTGTCTTCGTCGCACAAATGTTTTCTACCCGACCTTTGTGTGACAACGTCTATGCGATGAAGTTTTCGTCGTGCCAATTTTTTGACGACGGAAATTTTCTTTACCCAACGAAATTTTTTTTGTCACGAAAGCTGTTTACTGTGGTAGTGTTAGCTTCAATATCAATAATAAAGGCGTTTCCATTTTTAAGTTTAAGGTAACTGTTGCAACTGGCACTCATGTTCTAGACTGTTTAATTTGGATTGTCAAAGTAAGCAACATTCACTCAATTTAATTGGACATAAGAGAACTCGAACCACGAAAAACTCATCAACTTTATGCCACAAATGACTTGGACATGTTTCAACTGCTCAACACATGCACAATACGTGTGCAATTACTAGTAAACCATGAATAATTATGTGACAACTACGTTTAATGAGATTAAAGGAGATTCGCGTCGACTAACACCCTAGAAGGTCGAGACCTCCGAAAAGTAGAGGACTGCTAAGACAGTCTCGTCTCTTCGCCTCGTAACCATCTAGTCTGCTTTGCACTGCCTCATAGCCATCTCGTTTGCTTCTCACCACCTCTGTTTGACCAAATACAAGAAATCTCGACTTCGTCGACTGGGCTTGACGCCTTCAATATAGAAATTCAGAAATTTCGATTAACTTAAGCAGAGTGCCCATCAAGATTCCGACTCTTGGTTTGCTTCTTGTCCTTCCTCTTGCTCATTTAACTGACGGGAAAAAGAAATTAAGAGACATCCAACAAACAATTGGAGAGTCTGATGGTGAATGATCCAAAGAAGAGAAAGGAAGTGACGAGAATCATGAGATGAAGAGTTCGACGGAAATGAAATTCGGCGGAGAAGAAGATAAAAGGAAAGGAAAGTTGGAAAGAGTGGAAGGAGAGTGAGTCAGAAAAAAAATGTGTGGATTAATAATAATAAAATTATAATAATATAAGTTTAAAAAATTACAAAAAAATATTTGGATTTCAAATATAATTTAGTCTGTGGTTTAGTCTTATAATTTATCAAACATTTTTATTATTCTTATACTACTTAGTTCATCCCATGCCAATTCACGTTAGTCTTTAAAACTAGTCCAGTCCAAGATAGTCTAGTGCAACAATCGCACCCTAAGTATTAATGAATTGTTTAATACTATCACCTCTTTACCTCTCTAATTAGAACAAGAAACGATAGTATACATATACACTTGTGTAATGAGATAAATAAAGAATGATGGAATTAATTAACTACATTAATTAGGTGATATGATTAATTAGAAAGTCTAAATTACTCATAAAAGCGATGAAATGCTTTTGAACTTAAAAGTAGTTTGTGTTCTTTCGGGTCCATTGAGCTTTTAATAAAAGAGAAAGATGCCTTAAAGTAAATTTCATAGTAAATTTCAACTCTATTAGCCAAAATAAAGTTCATTTGATCACTTCATGGCTGCATCTAACCTCCTCGTTACATTGCCTACATATCCTCAAACGGGATCAAGTCATTCGTTGTTCACCAACATAATTAAACTGTTTTCTATACTATTCAAGTGGTGGACACATATGATACTAAATTCAGATAATTGAATCATGACATACAAATATCAAATATGAAATCAGAATATCAAAATTAGCTTAAAAAGGCAAAGTCGGCCCACTGACCACGCACCGCAGCATGTGGTGGTTTTCAGCAAACGAAAACCTAATTTTCCAACCAACTCCAAAAATTACCAAACTTCACAAATTTGTAGTACACAAAAAGGGGAAGAATTTTCATACCTGGGCCGAAGTCCATTTCGGCTAGGAAACACCTGAAATTGCCCTCGATCCGTCGGAAACCCTAGAAATGAGTGTTATTCGATTCGTCGAATTTGCAGCTTTGTCGCCCCCAAACTTGTTTGAGCTTTGATCCAAGCCTCAAGGGAAGTTGAACAAGGGTAGTGGTCTATGGTGGTGCTTATAGAAATGGCCGATCGCCGTTATGTACCCATGAAACTCGTCGATGAGTTCTTCATGAATCCGAGGCCAAATGGACTCTAGTGGATGGCCATAAAAATGTCGGAATCGATGTCGGGGTGTGTGCAGGAATGGGGTCAGGAAACCAGGTAGTGTGGGTTTCGGGTTGGCCTGCTTTTATCTTCATTAGGCCGATTTCCCCTTCTCGTTTCTCTCATTTCCTTTTCTCCCCTAATCACAGCCACACACATGGCACTGGAAGGTTCTCCAACTTTTCGGGAGCCTTCCAAGAAAAAATTTTAATTACCAGTTTACCCCTGCATTTAACCGTTAATTTCTCTTTCATTAAAATTTCGTTTCACGAACGATTTTCACCTAGGCGTATACAGGACTGAGCTCTATCCAAATATACAAAGAAACAAGGCAAAACATGGGAGGATAAAGTACATCCTCATAAAATTCGGTTCAGTTAACTAGGGGCATTTTCATCTTTTCCACTTATCGAAAAATTTTACGCCTAAATATAAATGTGTCGTAACTACAAATATGACAACAAAATATTTAATAATAAAATCGAGGTTTACACTAGAAGGAATGTATTAAGGATTTTTTTTTAAGAGAAAACGATATCATTAACTTGGGAAAGTTTACACTGTTTCTTCGATGAGAATGTCCTGGATGACAGTTGGAGGCTCCTCAATCCAAACTAGTTTTGAACCACTAGACAATGCTACCTTTGCCAAACGATGGGCAATCCCATTATTATTCCTAGAAATAGAAATAAACATCGAAGCAGAAAACGAAGTTGTATTATGAAGAACATCCCCCGTTAACAAATCCATAGTGGAGGCAAGATCCACACAAGTGTTAATGATGGATATTGCTTGAGAGGAGTCACTCTCAATTTGTACCTTTAGAAGCCCCCACTTGCATCTCTACATGAAGTGCTTATGATATTGCAGGCAAAAAGCATGCACTCGCTGCCACAAAAGTCCCATGTGCATCTCGCAACACAACATGCCTCACCCATCTGTTGTGTAGCAGGCACGAAAGCCGTAGCAGCTTGGAAATCCTGCAGCCATGCCATGGCACGTTACGCTACCACCTTTGGAGACCTTTGCTTTTCGCTTCAAATCTGATCATTTCTTTCCTACCAAATAAGCCACACCACTATACAAGCAAAGTCGAAAACATAATTTTTGCGTTCTAGTAAAGATAAAAACCACTCTTTGACTGTATGGCCGGAAACCAAATCAACCAAGACACTTAATGGGGTTGCAAACCATGTAGCTATAGCAAAATGACACTCTTTAAAAACATGCACCTCAGTCTCGAGAGCTCCTTTACAAAACACACACGCCATATCTGTCAATATTCTTTTCCTAGACAAATTTAATTTTGTCGGGAGAATATTCTAACAAGTCCTCCACACCATGTTTCGTATTTTTGGCGGTACCTTAACCTTCCATATGGCTTTCCATAATGGAGAGAAAGGGCTTCCACCAATTTCCAAAGAAAAAGCACTTACTGACGGTGGTTTAACACAATCCCATGCAACCCAATATGCACTCTTCGTTGTGAAAATCTCGCAGTCACTATAATGCCAAATTAATTTATCTAGTGGGAGCCAAGAACTAATTGTCATCGTACGAATATGATCCCTATCATCCTCATTAAAGAACTCAACGAGCAGGTCGTCAAGCCACACTTACTGATCCACATCTATAACCTCCTAGACCTGCATACAGTCTCGGGATAGTGATGGCATATATATGGGACAAAAGGTAGAGGGTTGGGGCACCCACATATCCTTCCATACCCGGACCGAAGCCCCATTACCAATCATCCATCTCGAACCCTTTTTCAAAACGCTTCTAGCCTTGAGTATACTAGACCAACAATAAGAAGAAGATGAAGGAACATGAGTTTCCCAAAATGAGGTATTGGGAAAATATTT